GCTTACTTGCCGCGGAGCATGTGGTCATCAAATGACGTACCTGTGTTAGAGAGCACTGACGGACATCCAGTGACCTCCAGCACTGAACGTGCGTCCGCATTGGCGGAGCACTTCGCTTCCGTATATACAAGTGGGCATGCGCCTATGCCAAGCTCGACGTGTGCAGCCCCTACTGAACTCGAGGTCCTTGATTACGGTGTAGAAGGTGTCCGCAGTCTACTCACCAGTCTTGATGGCATAAAACCTGTCGGACCCGATGGATTTCACCCGCCAATTTTGAAATCCTTATCAGTCATCATCTCGCCTGGCTTAACGGATATGTTCAACTGGTTGCTGTCCGAGGGTACATCGCCGAGCGACTGGAAATGTTCGGTAGTGAAGCCAATTCCAAAAGGTGGTAACCCACGCAATGTGGACAATTACTGGCCTATTTGTCTCACCTCTGTTTTTGAGTAGGTGCGCGAGAAGAGTGTGAAAAAGGGTCTTCTTCAATTGCTGAAGTCGAAAGATCTCCTAACGCCGACACAGCAGGGCTTGATGAAGGGCCGCTGGTGCATCACCAACTTGTTGTTGACGCAGCGGGAATGGTTGCAAACATTGCATTGGTGGAAGTTAGTGGGTGTTATCTACATTGAGTTCAATAGACCTTTCGATAAAGTGAACCATGAGGTTCTGCTCTACAAGCTGAGGATGTGTGGTGTTGGTGGCGCACTGCACCGGTGGATCAGTGACAACGTTATTAGTAGAAAATGGCGGGTTCAGGTGGATGACCACCTAACGGAATGGTACCCGTCCACTGGCGGCGTACCTCAAGGCACAGTACTGGGGCCCATTTTCTTTCTGATCCACATCAACGAAGCACCACAGGTTCTTCCGTCGCCCTTCGTATTATTTGCGTATAACCTAAAGATTTGGAGGATTCTTGGTTCTCCCGGCGACGGCAACATCCTTCAGCAGGACGTCGACTGCATTTTCTGGTGGCCTGTAGCAGCTGATCTACCGGTCAACAATGTCAATTCCTCGTTTATGAGTCGAGACAGGGGTGGCAATGGGCGTGGGTACACCCTGGCCTGCCACCAGCTACATCCCACTAGTTCCGTAAGGGATGTAGGCGTACTCTCACGCTGTGATCTAAAGTCTGACGCAAACACGAACGGATTGTACACAAACGGACTACGCCTGCTTTGGGCCCTTAGACGCAGCTTCTGCACTTGGTCTGAAGAGATTGCCACCCGCCTGTTCTCCTCCATAATAAGACCGGTGCTTGAGTACGGTTCACCCACCTACTGCCCGATTGCGATAGGTGAGGTGCAGAGACTGGAACGGGTGCAGCATGTAGCTACTATGCTCATCCTTAGTTTACGAGATATGTCGTGCGAAGACCGATGCAGGAGACTGGGGCTTTATACCCTATCGTATCGTCGGCTTCGAGTTAATATCATAATGACGCACCGGATACGGCACCTGAGCCACTTCCCTATGTTGTGGGTGCTGCTGTACGTTCGCTCACCAAACAGCACTCGCGGAAACCGGTAAAAGGTAGTGGTACCGGATTTAAAGCACATGGCTCACCCTCTATACTTCTGACGTCGAGTGGTGAAATATGGGAACAAATCGCCGGAGATGCTAGTCGAGGCGAAATCGGTGTTGGAATTAAAGCGATTCCTTGACGCCCACTGAGGACTACAGGGAGCGTATCGCACTCGGATAAGATGTAGTGCGGCTGCAATAGGCTGTCACCGCGCAGGATTCAGCGAGGTGATTCCGCGCATGTGCCCGATTCACCTAGGATGGATCAACACAGATTTTTGCAATGATTCGGAATACCTGTAGCTCGGGTTGGTAGTTAACGTTTTGATTCGTTCTCCGAGCTGAGTAATTTAATGTCAAACGTTTCACCACTTCCCTCAGTGGCATCTTCAGTGTACAGCTCCGTAGAGGAAAATATCACGGAAAGTGTCGTTGGGACGTAGCGTTACGTCCCAACGACACTTTCCGTGATATTTTCCTCTACGGAGCTGTACACTGAAGATGCCACTGAGGGAAGTGGTGAAACGTTTGACATTAAATTACTCAGCTCGGAGAACGAATCAAACATTAACACAGATTTTTATCTTCTCGCTCTCCGTTCTCACTATGCAGTATTCTCTGTTTGTTCCGAAAACACTGTGTGCAGCGGGACTGCATATGTGGACTTATGTGCCCCAACTCAATGAACTTTACATCTGAGAATACTCCATGTTCTCTGTGTGTGTATGCGTGCTTGTCCACGCCGTCAGCGTTCACGCGCACGCGTAGTACATAGATCAATCTGGGCCCCACAGATCCGAGCCCATTGAATGACCCAGAAGAATTTGTGTTCAACCTCCTTCACCAGTCTAACTACAAGGGCAAGCCTTCCTCTACCTCAAAGAACGTGTCTACTCATCGCACAGGCCGCAATCAGAAGTTTGTGACTGTCTAACCCACGAGCAACCACCAGATCTAAGCACCAGTTCATTAGCTCATTGGATAGTGGAGAGGATGACGATAACACCTACCTTAAATATTGGGCGTTTATCCGGCTCTATTTGGTGTCAGCCTTAGGGAGCAACCAATTCCGGTTAGTTTTTGTATGTAAGTAACGTTTCGTTAATAGAACCGTAGACCTTTTATGCACTCCGTGTTTTGTACAATTTAGGACCGGTCATAACGAGTAATTCAACATTATGGCCCAAAAAACAGACCTTAACGTTGACTTCGAAGGAAAAGATTAGTCGGCTACATTTGCCTGAAAGCAGTAGCCAAATAAAGACCGCAGAGCATATTGGTGTTAGCAAGACGACAGCTAGCAACATCCAAAGACATAAACCTGAGTAGTTAGAGAGATACGATAATGGAAGGGGAGATAAACATCGGAAGAGGTGGAAAACTTCGAGCGATGAAGTCAAGGACGATAAGCAGTGTTGGTTCAAGCAAATTAGGGCAGTTAACGCTCTAATTGCTGGACTGATGATTCAAGAAATTGCTGAAAGGTTCTCATAACATTTTATCGTTGCAGAGTTCCTGGCATCCAATGGTTATCTAGAGAAATTTAAACTCGACATGTGGCGAATCTATTGACTTACCTGAAGGACTTGTACAAAACTATTGAAAAGTTTTCCAACTTCAGCAACGGCTTCAACAATGGCGGCATTTTTAACACTGACGATTGTGGTCTCTTTTCAAGGCGATGCCTAACAAAATCCTTGTTATAAAGGGTGACAAATGTAAGAGTGGAAAACATTCCAAAGAACCTTTCACAGTTCTGGTGTGCGATAGCTCATTTGGGGAGAAACTAAAGCCCCTGGTCATTGGTAAATCAGCTAGACCATGTGCGTTCAGAAACCTAAATCCTGTAAACCTTCCAGTCACCCGTTGATCAAACCTATCTGTGTGAATGACTGCTGCTATATTTGAGGAGTGGATCAGAAGTATCGACAAAGAAAGATGAAGAAGAAAGGCTTCATTATCTTAACAGTGGACAACTGTTCTAGTCACACCAATATAAAAGCTCTCATAAATATTATAATTCTACGCCTCGAAACATGACTTCACAAATTCAACCTCTGGTCCAAGGGATCATCAAAACATTCCAAATGCACTACCGAGCCCAGTTCATGCAATGAGCCATGACAGAAATGCATACTAATGATTCCCATGCGTTAGGAACTTTACATGTTGCTTCAGTGACTGCCTTGGATGGTATGCTTTGGATAATTTCCGCTTGATTCCAAGTTCAACCAGACATAATACAGAAGCTTTTCAGAAAATCCGGATTGGCTCGATCTCTCGAGCGGTATGCCATCGCCTCATTAGACTTTCCATCTGCAATGGCAGAATTCGACGAAATAGATCTTAGATTTTGCTTAAATGAAGGATGCTTTGGTAACGCACTGAAACAGAAGCAGATGCTATTTTCCGAGAGCTACTGACTGCGGCACTCCCCTACGGAGACAAACATGAAGCGCGTTATGATGAGAAAGAAATAAGTGAAGGTGATATGGGAACCACAGAAACCCTGAAAGTAACTGATGTCGAGCACCTTTTAATGCAACTGGAAGCATTTGTTGTGGAAAATGTCCAATCATGCTGAGTAGTGTAGTTTGTGATGAGAGCGCTTTCTCAGTTACATTTGTGAAATGCTAAAGAAACAGACACAGATCAACATTTTCTTTAACAAATGCTTTAACTTATGAAATAAACACTGTAGTTTGACTTATTATAATACTATATGGTTGGACTGCGTATGCCGTTGCGTGAAACTGTTATGCAAAACGGGTTTAGGTGAACATAAATTTCATCTTATACTACGAACAAAGGGGAAGGTAGGTTACACACTTTTGGCATAGAACTTCCGTATACTGACCACCACTACATTGACCACTTTGGTCCAGCCTCTTAAGTGGTCAAATTGGAGAGGTTTTGCTTTATTTCTGAGCATCACTGCTTCTGTCAAAGTCGATCATGCGTATCGAATTTGATGATAGCACAGAGTAGCTGGACTCAGTCAACTGACGCTGGAAAGGATGTTGATTTACCTGGATTTCTCGAAAGCATTTGACCGTCTAGACCATCGAATACTCCTTTCCATGCTACAGCATTACAGGATCGGTTACCCTCTTCTAAGCTGGATCGTAAACTATCTCCTTCAGCGGTAATTGGTGGTCAGAGTTCAGAGCTCTTTCTCTGACCCCATACAAGTTGAATGTGGTGTGCCTTAAGCCTCAGTGCTAAGTACGGTTGTTTTTGGCACTTATCCAGAACCTCACAACAACCACTAGATCCTGCTGTTTGCAGATGACGTCAAGATTTAGAGCAAAGTTAAGGGGAATGCTAACCAGCAACTCCTTCAGCATGATTTTGACACGGTACATTTGTAATCCATCCAAAATTCACTGCAATTCAATATGAGTAAATGCAAGGTCCACTTCATACGACGCCACCGCAACCACAGTTGCAGGATCATACCGGATGTGATGCATCATCATCATCATACACGTTAGCTAGAGGTGGGGAACACCTCAGCTACTGTGCCGCAATACAAAGAGAAAAAAGGAGAGAAAAAAACAACTGGTGCAAGCTGGCTGAGCTACCGGTAACGGATGGGCATCGTTCCGGTAAGCTACCAGCCGGCTGCTGTGCACCCAAAAAGAAAAAAAATATTATGCAAGATTATATAAAGCTAAATAATGAGATCGTGGTTGGAGGGGGAGGCTAAGAGGGATGGGGTGGGACAAAGAAACTCACAGCACGAACGCCACTGAGGTCGGCTCCTAGCCATATCAGCAAGTGTGTCCAACCAAACGTGTTCATCGTCCTTTGGACCCCAACCAGGGAGCCGAGACGCTCCAACCGAGGCCAGCTCAGAAGTGAGGGCCTTCATTCCTCTGGACCAAGTCATCGCTTGGCCACCCCTCCTCTTCTTCCATCCACACCCCCGGCGCGCAAACAACGCACGTCGCGGGAGTCGGTGGGCTGGCATGCGTAACACGTGGCCGAGCCATCGGAGCCTGATGCGTGAAATAACGGTGCTGAGCGGTTCAGTTCCTTTTCCTGTGCCATAAACAAGGCGTCGAACACGCTCGTTGCTCACGCGGTGTTCCCACCAGATGTGAGCTAAATTACGAAGGCACCGGTGGTCGAACGTAACTAGCCTCTTCAGGTCCGCTGCTTTAAGCGGCCAGGTTTCACAACCGTACAGTAGGGTCGAACGTACTGCTGCATTGTACACTCTACCCTTCAGGGTGAGAGTGATGTCGCGCCGGCGCCATAAGTGGCGAAGGTTAGCAAAAGCGCCCCGAGCTTTTGCTATACGATTCGTGATTTCATCTTCAATCCCACGGGCGCTGATACAACTTCCCAGGTAGTTGAATTTTTGAACGACTTCTAGCTGATCCCCACCAAGGGTGAGCGTAGGAGGCGGTCCAGACCAATCTTGGAGAAACGCTTTGCACTTCGAGGGTGCGAAGCAAAGCCCGAAGTGACGGACAGCTAGTGCTAATCTGTCCAGTGCCGCTTGGCACGTTTGTGAGCTGTCACAGATCAGGGCAATATCATCAGCATACTCTAAATCAAGAAGTCGTTCTCCTGGGAGTAGCTCCACACCTTCTAAGTCGTGTCCTGTAAACGCGATTTCCATGACTTCGTCAACAGCGAAGTTAAAGAGGAAGGGTGACAGCGGGCATCCTTGTCTCACGCCGCTGGAGATATTAAAGGGCGACGACAACCTGCCGTAAGCCCTCACTCTGCCCGAGCTACGCGCATATAATGCTCGGATAATGTTCACATATTTCTCAGGTACACCTTTCCTGAGTAGACAGTCCCAAAGTGCATGTCTATCCACCGAATCGAATGCACCTTTGATATCGAGGAACACGACAACGGTGGGCCGCCAATATATGTGACGGTGCTCCAACAACTGACGCAAAGTGAAGATGTGGTCAATGCAGCTACGACCTCGGCGAAATCCAGCTTGCTCTTCGCGAATCTGGCTTTCACGAGTGCCAATCAGTCTGTGAAGGATGACAGAGGCAAGCAATTTGGAGGCGATGGAGATCAGACTGATTCCTCTATGGCTGCCGCATTCCGATCGTGAGCCTCCTTTGAAAATTGGGACTATGACGGAGCGGCTCCAATCGGTTGGGACAGTTTCCTGCTCCCACAGTTTGACTAGTAACTCGTGTAAATCATCCACAAGAGCAGGTCCTCCGAATTTGAAGAGGGCTGGAGGAAGGTCATCAGGTCCCGCGGCTTTGTTCAACTTCAAGAGTCCGATCTCATGTTCGACTTCTGAGCGAGAGGGTGGATCCAAAGGAACAGCCCACGGAGCAGGGCGATCACTGGTCGGCGAGAAATCTAACAATTCCGACCGATTAAATTGCCTTTCAAAGTGCTCAGCCCAACGCTCCAAGCGTTTTGATAAGTTGTGGATAGGCTGTCCACTCTCGTCACGTATAGTTTCACTAACACCAGGTCTCCTGCTGCCCGTTTCCCGTATCAGACGGAATAACTCACGATGGTTACCAAGGGCAGCGGCCATTTCCATCGCTGTTGCACGACGAGACCACCAGGATTCGCGGTCTCTCTTCAGGCTAGCACGGAGTTTCGCCCGGAGCTCTTTTCGAGTTTCATTGTGTTCGCTTCCAGCCGGAATATGCCGGCGAGCATCTATAAGTTCCAGAGACTGTGAAGAGACCCAATGTTCATGTTGGCGATTAGACATACCACATGAGGATTTGCCTGCTGCTAGTAAGGCTTGTTGCATATGAGACCAGTGAGCTTCAATTGCATCAAGTGAGCGTTTATCCAACTCGGATGACAGCGTAATTTGATAGGCGTTCAGAACAGCTGGCTTCACCAGTCTGCCGGTGTCAATGCGCTCACAACATCGTCGCGGACGTCCGCCAAAGCGCATCCGCAGGTCAGCACATACAAGTGCATGATCGGTGTCAACACCTGTGCTCCAAATCGAGCGACAGTTCTGGATGCAGCCTCTCCAGCGGTAACTGATAGCAATGTGATCGATTTGCGTCCATAGCTGGTTCGAGGCTGGTGGGCGCCAAGTCACCCTCCGGCGGGTGCTGTGTCGGAAATTAGTGCTCGCAAGAAATAAGCGAGCATCCTCACACAGATGAAGTAACCGCTCACCGTTATCATTACGGGAGCCTATACCATGTTGGCCGCCCAGATGCAGCTCATCTGTGGATAATTTTCCAACTTGAGCGTTCAGATCCCCAGCCAGCACTACAGTGTCCGAGCTTCTTCTGTGGCGAAGCAGTTCGTTCAGTTGGCGATAGAAGTCGTCTTTTACCGAGTCATCGCTACAGTTTGTCGGTGCATAGGCAGCGATAACGAATAGACACCTGTTAGTCCCACGCGACTTCGAAGTTTTGAACGAGCCAGCCAATCGGACCGCACACATCCGGCTACTGATTGGAATCCAATCAACCAGAGCAGCTTCAGCCCGGGGACTCAGGGCAATACCAACACCGGCTTGGCCAGTGCTCGAAGCTGCATCGTCACCGGATAGGCGCAATGAGAAAGTGCTGCTAGTGTCACCTGAAGGGGATCGCAGAGTGAGTACAGAGCTCGAGTCTTGCAGGCGGGTCTCCGATAAGCAGCAGATATCGATCGAGAGGGTCTCCAATGTTCGGGCAAGTGCTGCTTGTTGACCGATCTGAAGCAAAGTGCGAACATTGAGGCATGCCAGTCTGAAGGAGGATCGAGGGCTCCAAATGGAAGCCGATGAACTGGAATGGGCCGCTTGCTTGGACATGGGCCTGTTGACAGTGCAGGAATGACGCTCTGGGTTCGCCTGTGAGTTGAAACTAAAAGACAAGCGACTATTGAAGCAAGGTGGGGGAGGGCCGAGAATTGGGGGGTTGAAAACAGGGGGGATAAAATTGAAGCTGGAACGGGACGATAAGGGTGAAAAAGCGCAAGAAGGGGAATAAGAAGATGGGAAGGCTTGAGCAGTAGCATCCAAACCCCTATCCACCCTGCTCGATGCAGCAGATAGGGCACCGTTGATTATCCTCTGCGGTGGCCAGAGCATCAGCAATTTGTTTGGGGAAAGATTCATTGTATTGCGTGGGCAGGATACTGTCAGGTTGCCCAGGCCTAGACAGGAGAACGATTAGGGTTCTCAACCAAAGCCTTTGGTTCAAAAACCTGTCCGCAAGGCAGCGGGTTTGGCACTGGACTACAAAGAGTCCGTTTTAAGGAATAAGGAGCCACCCTCATTCCAACCCCCAACCTGGAGGACCAGGAGGCTGAGTTTGTCTGGCCTCTAACCATTGACCAATCTGGTATGAGTGGCTCTGAAGGTGCAAAAGCACCACCCAGTATAGCTCAATGGATCACTGAGGCACACAAACCATCGCACCACGGTAAGGTCCAGCCTCATTGCGATGGGATGTGATGCAGCGAACTTTCAGCGAACCTTATTTGGGCGTATTGGTTCAGGATGATCTGGGTTCTTCCACGCAGTCCGTGATAGCCTCACAAATTGGTAACTAACGTGTTGGCCTGATACGACAGACGTTCGTATGAGTCGATCGCTCTATTTTCCGGCAGATGTTTATATAGAATAAGCAATGCAGGCCTTTTATCCATGGCTAAAATACCACAGTGCATTGGAGCAGCCTCAAAGCCCAGCAGCAAAGTACTTTATTGGAATGCATCATCTTCCGTTAGAGGAGAGGCTGGAACGATCTGCGGTATTCAGCGGATGTTACCGCCGCTACAAGGTTATTTGATAATGGTGTACCTTATTCTGTACGATTCGCATCATATGTGCAGCTCTTCACTGCAACATAGCAGTAATATCAATTTGAGAGGTCGCGCACTCAAAGTGGCAGAACTATACATCCGTCTGGATTTACGCAGGAATTTTTTTTCCGTCCGCGTGTGTCACCCTTGGAATGTTCTTCCAGAATCGGTCATTTCTACACCATCAGTATCCATAGTTAAAAGACGTTTAGATGACTCACCTACTCAGCTGCACATTGTTGTCTAGTACTACATCTCTATCCCACTCCTGGAATATACTTTGGATTTAGTTGCTGTTACGTCTTTGTGCTGTGAAGCTACACAAATCGCAGGACTACAACGAAACAAACGATAAGTCCCCCTTTTACATGTAAATAACCTACAGCATTTTGTTTTTCGATAACCCAGCAAACCTATCCAGCGGGGCATGTAAAGCAATGCTTCTTAACCAGCATAAATTCATGGTTCGTTGTTCATGTTTCAACATGTAAGTGTGGCCTTATAAGGGTTACATATTCTCGGTGTGGCAGCACTGGCAGGAGCAAGATCTTGCAGAGCTCAAGACTTCACTGTGAACCACCATAAGTACGTTAAAGGGTTGTTTCACTCTCCATATCAACTTAGTGGAGGACCATAAGACTAAACAGCATTCAGTACCTGCGCCTACTTGGCGACCTACTAATGGCCTGCTAGATCCTGAGGAAGCCCAACTACCTTTGCTTCCACCTACTGTGACTCATTCACAACACGAAGTTGAGGGGCCACACATTCATGCTGGCCGCGTAATACATTTGGCTAGCATGTCGGCGAAACTCTCACTCCATTCGTGTCTGATAGCTGGGGAATGCTCTCCCAAATTAAGTTGTACCTGCCCCACATTGTATGGCTTAAAATCATCTTAAGGTGTCCCTAACCCACCTGCATTATGAGATATAGCCTGTGAACATCGACAGATGATACAACGTAACAAATGTTCCATAACCAGCATTAACCTACGCAATCGAGGTTGGCACTTTATTCACGCCACTTTTTGAACCCAAGGAAGAATCCACCAGAACGTTTTTTCGTGTATCACCGTTTTTTTTCAGCAATTTGTGCTTCTCATCCAGGCTGTCCTACGGGATTAGTACAGCACTTGTTTTGTAATCCTTATTACATCATTGTTTCATTATTTGGTGCGCCTGATTTCCCAAGCAGATAGACGGGAATGTTGTGGCTGTGTATGTTAAAGGAGTTTGGACCGGCTCCGATGAGGAAATGTGGATATTATCCAAGTAGTTCCCTGTCTTATTCTTTCGGATTTACACAGCATATTGGATGTGCGGATAGAGCTGTGGGTGGTGCACCGCGAGACACCCAAGGTCTCACTTTTGGCGAAAGCGTCCTATGGCTGTCCTATGGAAGCCGCAGTGACAGGCAAATCCGGAACTGGATGCCTCCAACCATGTTAACGATGCTGGTTTTGCATAGCTGGGGTTCCCCGTGAATTTCTCTCGGTACATAGTACATGAACCAATGGATTGTTTGCAACGCCTTCTTCTGTCTCACCGATCAACTGGTGGTAATGCTGCGCTACAACGTATGTTCACCCAGCTAGGAAAATGTTTGCTTGGGACCTTAACGCAAGCTGAGCATTCTAACGCGAACATTTCACTTCGGAACACAAGCTGTGCACCTTCGCAGCTTTGTCGCTCTAAGTTCTATTCATGAGCTCAGATGGTTCTTCTTGTACAATTAAAACTGGACGTGGAAATGTCAAACAAGCCTCCCAAATTCAACCAACATATACCACGCCGAGAGTGTTTTGATTTAATCAAATGGTTTAGCCTCAACGCAGTTTCCATTTAGATTTTCATTGTGCAGGTAGTTTGCCACATGAAAGCTTTATGTAAAAAAACCATTACTATTGAGGTGAAACGCTATCAGACCCTTGGGGTGTAATGTCGACAACACACAATGTGGTTCTTTTTCACATACGATCCGAGTGACTGAACGGAGCCAAATTCAGCGTGCGTCATTTTGAAGCACGCCGTGTGTAGATGGATTGCTGCTTGTGATTATAATATGATTGCAGATTCACTGGAAACTGCGCCCTGAACGCTTATTTCACCTTCAGTAGTGCGATACCTTTGGCTTGATAGATTGGATGTGTGGTCAAATCTGTAGATTTGGTTGATGAATGCACTTGATCTAAAATTGAAGCATGGTGCACCGGTTGGAGATATCGATGAAGCTAAACTGCTTTCAGACCATTTTTACTTCACCTTATTAATCTTTCGTCTAGAAGAGCCAACATTGTAACTACTAGGAACATCTGCGCACACACATTGGAACTTTTAATTTATTTGTACATAGGATTCCGAAAAATTTGCGTCGGCGGAAGCAAGAGGATTGGTGCAACAGAGTTGCACCGAAGGGGTGACTGATATGGGTAATATGCTGACTATGTATCCACCTAGTATACATACAGTCCTACAGACCATATTGACTGACCTTTGTTTGTCGTAATTCATTCACTTAACCGTTACTACCGATTAATGCACTATGAGTCAATAATCGTTATGACAGGCATAGACCTCTGGAGAATCAGTGTAAGCACCGCAATGAGACTGGACCTTAGCGTTGTTGGATATTTTGCGTGCCTCAGAGATCCATTGAGCCATGCTGGCTGGTGTTTTTTTCACCTTCAGAGCCACTCATACCGGATTGGTTAATGGTTAGAGGCAAGGTAAACTCAGCCTCCTGGTCGTCCGGGTTGGTGTTGGAATGAGGGTGGCTCCTCATTCCTTAAAACGGGCTCCTTGTAGCACACTGCCAAACCTGCTGCCTTGCAGTAAGCTTTTGAACCAAGGACTTTGGTTGATAACCCTAAATCCTTCTGTCTAGACCTGGACATCCTAACGGTATCCTGCCCACGCAGTACAATGAATTTCTCTTCAAACAGTTTTTTATGCTCTGGCCACCACAGAGAACAATCAACGGTGCCTCATCTGCTGCATCGAGCAGGGTGGATAGGGGTTTGGGTGCTACCATTCAAGCCTTCCCGTCTTCTTGTTCCCCCCCTTACACTTTTTCACCCTGATCGTCCCGTTGCAACTTCATCTTACCCCCCAGTTTCCAACCCCGATTCTTGGCCCTCCCCCACCTTGCTTTGATAGACGTTTAGCTTCTAGTTCCAACTCATTTGCAAACGCGGAGCGTCACTACTGTTCTGTTGACAAGCATGTGTCAAACCAAGGTGTCCATCCCAGTTCATCGGCTTCCATTTGGAGCCCTCGATCCTCCTTCAGATGAGCATGTCTCAATGTGCGCACATTGCGACAGATCGGTCAACATGCAGTCCTTGCTCGAACATTAGAGATCCTCTCCATGGATATCTGCTGCTTAGCGGAGACCTATCTACAAGACTCTAGCTCTGTGATATAGAAGCAAATGTTGGTAGCCCAGGTTGTTTGGTTGATTGGCTGATTGTTCGCTGAGCTCGGCAGGTTGACTGCAAACGTTTCGTCACCACTCGAGGTGACATCGTCAGTGCGAGTGTAGTTAGCAGTGTGGCGCGTACGAGGCGCCTCGTACGCGCCACACTGCTAACTACACTCGCACTGACGATGTCACCTCGAGTGGTGACGAAACGTTTGCAGTCAACCTGCCGAGCTCAGCGAACAATCAGCCAATCAACTCTAGCTCTGTGCCCACTCTGCGATCCCCTTCAGGTGACACCAACAGTATCTTCTCATTGCGCCTATCCGATGGCGATGCAGCTTTGAGCACCGGCCAAGCTGGTGTTGGCATTGCCGTGCGTTCAAATCCTGACGCTTCTCTGGTTGATCGGATCCTAATCAGTAGACGCATGTTTTCGGTCCGATTGCCTGGCTCGGGCAAAGCCTTGAAGTTGAGCGGGACTAATAGGTGCCTATGCGTCATCGCTGCCTACGCGCCGACAAACTTTAGTGATGATTCGTTAAAAAACCACTTCTAACGCCATCTGACCGAGCTTCTTCGCCACAGAAGTAGCATGGACACTGTGGTGCTGGCAAGGGATCTGAACGCACAAGTTGGAAAATTGTTCACTGATGAACTGCGTCTGGGCGTCCAACACGGTATAGGTTCCCGTACTGATAACGGTGAGCGATTACTTCATTTGTGTGAAGATGCCGGTTTATTCCTTTTGAGCACTAATTTCCGACACAGCACCCGCCAGAGGAAGACAGGGCGCCCACCATCCTTAGACCAGCCTTGAACGCAAATCGATTACATTGCGACCAGTTACGGCTGGAGTGGCAGCTACCAAAACTGTCAATCGATTTGGAGCACGTGTGTGGACAGCCACCATGCATTTGTATGTGCTGAAATGCGGATACGTTTTACCGGACGCCCACGAGGACGCTGTGAGCGCGTTGGTACCAGTCAACCGACAAAGCTAGCTGTTTTGAATGTCTATCAAAGTACGCTGTCACGCGAGTTGAGTAAGCGCTCACTGGATGCAGTTAAAGCTCACTGGTCTCATATTCACCAGACCTTATTCGCAGGAGGCAAATCCTCATAAGGTAAGTCTAACCGCCAGCATGGACATTGGGTCTCTTTTCAGTATCTGGAACTTAGCGATGCTCGCTCGCATATTCCAGCTGGAAGCGAACACAATG